AAAAAAAAAAAAAAAGGAAGAAGAAGAAGAAAACAACCGTGGATGAGGGGTGGTGGGGTCACAAAATATGTTTAATTATTGTTTGCTTAATTAGCTGATAATGGAAATGAAAAAGAAAAAGAGTAAAAGAAAAAGGGCAAAAGAGAAAGAAAATGGAATAATGGAAAGGATAAGCAACAGTTTAATTCGATGCGACTCCGTGGTGTATGTAGTTTTTACAAGTTTATAAATAAGGTGTGCTCCTTGCTTTAATGGATAGCTCATCCTCACCTGAAGCTACCTAACTAGTTTTCAGTAAACTTATATTTCCCATCTCACTTGCTATTGTCTCACATATCTGACTTCTGATATATACAAAGAGAGAGAGGATGGAGCCCAAATACTTTCTTCATAATCATCCCCTTCACTTCTTCGAAGGGTGGAGCAATAATATCCACGGTAAGACTGGAGGTGTAAATTGCTCATCAGGGTGTGGGCAGCCAATCTCAGCTCAGTTCTATGCATGCATCGACTGTAAGTTTTTCCTTCATAAATCATGTTCTGAGCTACCAACGAACATCACTCACCTCTTTCATGATAATCATCCTCTCACTCTTTTAGCCGAAGCACCACACTCGTCTTGTGATTTTTGTGGTGGTAGTGTCAATGGATTTGTTTACCGCTGTTCTTCTTGTCAATTTGACCTTGACATCAAGTGTGCCTTGCTCCCAGAATTCCTCAATGGAGATTTTCCAAAAGTTGATCATCAAATTCATGCTGAACACCCTCTCTTCTTCATCAAAAATCCTAGCCATGAAGTTAAACTAGCTTCTTATTGCTATTGCAGTGTTTGCTTAGAACAGTTATCGGATGCTTCCTTTTACACTTGTGTTGTTTGTAAGCTTTTCTTTCATAAGTCATGTTCTGAGACTAAGCTACCATTGAACATCAATCACCCCTTCCATGAGAAGCACACTCTTACTCTTACTGTTCTTAAACGCGATAGGGCAGTACCTTGTCAATTTTGTGATAATGACCGTTATCCTCCAGGAGTGTTTTATCATTGTTCTTCTTGTCGTTTCAAACTTCACATCAAGTGCGCCTTTCTCCCACAAGTCCTCACTGGGAATTTCCCAAAACGTGATCATCATTTTAGTGATGTTGATGAACACCCACTCTTCTTCATCCAAAAGGACCTTGTTAGCAACAGCAATAAAGTTGAACTATGCACTTTTTGCTTTGTTTGCAAAGAATTATTAGCGGGTAGTTCTTTTTACTATTGTCCGGACTGCAAATATTTCGTTCATAAGTCATGTGCATTTAAAGAGATACCTTTGAAAATTAATCACTCTCTCCATGATAAACATGCTATTAGACTAACCAAAGCACATGATCTCAGCGAACCATGTAACTTTTGTTGTAATAAGATCGAGGGATCTATGTACAGCTGTTTTTCTTGTGAGTTCCATCTTGATTCCCGATGTGCATTGCTCATCACCAAAGATCTCCCCAAACGTGATCATCATTTTAGCCATGATGAACACCCACTTGTCTTCATCAAAATGCTCAGCAACGAAGTTGAAATACATTCTTCCTGCTCTGTTTGCTCAAAACCACTATTGGGTACTTCTTTTTACAATTGTCCTGATTGTCAATTTTTCTTTCACAAAGAATGTGAGGCAGAGTTGTCAACTGAGATTAAGCATTTTGCGCACCCTCAACACCCTCTTAGTCCTAGATTTTCCTTATGTACCTGTCGCTTTTGCCAAGGTAAAAGTGATGGGAAGGAAATTGGATACCAATGTCCCTCTTGTGACTTTTATATTCATCGTAAGTGTATCTTACCCCGGCTTGTCTCGGAAAGTAAGATCCATGACCATGACCACCAGTTGATCCCATTCAGAAGGAAAAATCTCTTCATTTGCGATGCATGTGGGGTGTCAGGAAATTCTGCTGGCTATTTTTGTGTTAAATGCATTCTCATGGTCCATTGGGATTGTATTTTGCTGCCAAAAACCATCAAATTCAAACTGCACAGTCATCATCGACTTGTCCACAACTATTGGTTGCCACAAAAAAAGGGTGAAAAATGGACTTGTCAACGTTGCTTCAAAAAGGTGGAAGCAGAGTATGGGAGTTACAAATGTTTGCATTCGGACTGTAATTATGTTATTCATACGAGTTGCGTAAAAGAGAATAAAGGTCTTTATATCGGAGTTGAGTCAGAAGATGAGAAAAGTGATGAGGCTTCTTCTTCTTCTAGTTGTGCTGTGGTGCTAGGAGACAAGATAAAGCATTTCAACCACAAGCATGAATTAGTGCTTGATAAGGAGGAGATTATTACGAATGGCGATAAAAATTGTTGCAATGGGTGTGCATTACCGATCTTGACTGCCGCTTACAGTTGCCCACAAGCAGAGTGTAATTTCTCCCTTCACAAGGCTTGTGCCCAAGTTGGAGAGCACAAACCACATTGGGCTTCCTGGGAACCTCTTGAAGTCAGCATGAAGCTCCAGTTTGGTTGTGAATTTTGTGAGTATGACTGCACCGGTTTTAATTGCTTTGAAAGACAAGATTGTAGGAAATTTTGCTTCAGATGTAGCGAGATCCCTTTCATCACTACCCATGAAGCACACGCTCAGCATTCCCTCTTCTGTGATCGAGATCACAAGGGACGATGTAGTGGCTGCGGTAAGGAAATGGGTAAATATGGTGGTTACAAATGCACGCTAGCAGAGGAAGAGGAGAATTGCAAATTTGCCTTGGACTACAGATGCTTGACACGTCCCCTTAAAGCTGAACATAGGTTCCACCATCACCCTCTAAAACTCACTTATGAAGATCCTTACAAGGATGATGATGGTGATCCATTTCAACACATGTGTGAAATCTGTGAAGATAGAAGAGATCCAAAGGTCTGGTTTTATCGGTGTGATGAGTGCGATTTTGATGCTCATCCCGATTGCGTTCTTGGAGAATACCCTTTCATCAAGCGCGGTAGCATCTGTGATGAAGGTTATAATAGATGTGTCTCTCATCAACGATCTCTCATTTATTTCCAGAGTGAGAAATATCCCTATCCGAAATGTGTTAAATGTGGCAATCCTTGCAAAGATCAGCTGGCTATTAAATGTCCCCACTCTGAGTGCAACTTTGCTCTACATTTTGGTGAGTGTGCCGGTTGGTGTTCTTAACATGTGGAGACCGTGGGGGCGTCCATATTGTAAAGGTACATGAAACTCAAGACCAAATCGGTAATTCTCCCCTTTTTTTTTTCTTTTTTTTTTTTAATTTGATAGCTTGATTGCAATATTTCTTTTCTACGTCATAAATTGTTTTGCCAAAATTCAGACACTAATGAAATTAGTTTGATCTATAACCTCAACAATTAATTAATTGATCAACATATACTAGGCCTTTTTTCCTTTTTATTTAATGTATTTTGTCTCCAATGCCCTTCAATGGTATTTTCATCTTTTCCCACTCCAAAATGATGATTTTAAATGCAGTCCACCTTAAAAATCCCATTCTTTTTTGTTTTATCATGTAGAACACCCAAGGAAATATGTAAGAATGGAGAAGACAAAGGCTTGTAGCATTTCTTTTACTGCTCTGGTATGTCTACCCCTCCAACCTTATTGGTAATTATTCTCCTCTTTAGAAATATATACGTGCAGATTGATATATATAGCTCATGCTTCTGATTCTTCCATGAAATGTATGTATTTTGCAGCGCAAACTGTAATTATATTATTGGTTTTACTATGGGAAGCATTCCGGTTGCTCAGACCAGCAGGGCACAATTGCTTTCACTTATGGGGTGGTATATTACCATGACTATATATGTTTTATAGTCAAACTTGCTATATTTTTAATTCATAAAGAGGAACTCCTTGTCAATTTCTACTATTGAAAAGAAGGATCATTCAGGTACAATTCCTGCGCTTTGCTAATTTGCTCTGATTTTTTCCCTTAAAAAAACAGCTTCAATTTAACTTCGTATAGTCGGGTAGTATAGCTCTACTTGTCAATTTCTACTATTGAAATTTAAAAAGAAGACTTACTTAAAGAAGTGAGCTTTTTAAATGTAAAGACACAGTTCTGTGCAACTTGGAACTCAACTAATTTTTCATGTTTCATAATGCCCTATGTCCAAATATTTTGATTTGCTATAATGGAGAGACATCTGCCTCAAAATCAGTTACACGTCAGATAGTCTGTAGCATTGTTAATGATTATGAGATGCAGGCTAAAGAAGAGGCTGAGGTTGAAACAATGTCAATGATTAGATGAGCAAGATCAGATGCTTCATCCTTGGGGGGAGAAATAAAATACATAGGAAATTGGCTCCAAGCAATTAAACAATTTCATCTTCTGTAGGTATGCGTGTGAAATCTTGATTAAAAACGCCAGTTTACTGCTTTTATGGGAACATTCTTACACATGAAAATTAAGCATACAACAAAAGTTGATATTTAAATTTCATAGTTTGTTTAGCCATTAATTAATATGTAGAGGAACTGACCTTAACCAGCTAGCCTAACAATTCACCACCCAAGCCTAAACTCTTAGGTTGGGAGTTCAACTCCTACTTATGGCTTGGAAACCGACAACTTACCATGTTTAAAACATGCAGGGATAATGCTATTGCTCACTTCTTGATTCATTTGCCACTGACTAAGTTCAAGGAAAATAAAAGAGCTCGAAGATGCAATCCTATCAGTTGGATACATTCACATGGAGAAGACACATGCATGGTTACCTTCCCAAGTTTGCTTTGGTATGTCAAGCTCTTCAACCAATCAACCTATTAGTAAATTTTTATGTTGGAAAACTGATGTTTGGTTTAACTGATAGGTTTAATTAACATGGAACAAAAAATTGTAGAATAATTAACTAATCTAATAGAAATTAATTGGATAATGTTCCTTAATCTTGGATTTTGAGAGTTAAAAACAATAGAATTAGAATTAGAAGCAATCTCATTAATTGCATTGGCTATTTCAAAAGATTATTCTGTTCATGATGAATCAACTGTCATTACAAAATAAGCATCTGCGAAAACCTGGTCATTATAGCATTCATCTTGACATAGTGACATGAAAACTGGAATGATCTAAGCTTCATAAACTTTGCATTCTTCATCAGCAGGGTTTGTCTCGTAGAAGTCCTCCAAGGGATCACCACTTCCTGTAGTAGGCATTCCAGGCCACTTGCTTGCCACAAGATGTGCCAAATCAACAACCCTTTGGCTGCAAATATTCAACATATTACTATTAGTAACTGGTAAGGCACAAATAAGATTATGGTTAGAAACAGGAAAGTTTCAAGGAATGTATTCTAACCTGTATCCCCATTCATTGTCATACCAGGCCACCACCTTAACCATGTCATCTCCCATAACCATGGTTAGTGAAGAGTCAATGGTAGAAGAAACATCGCTACATCTGACGTCCACTGACACGAGAGGAACATCACAGACGGCCAATATGCCCTTCAATGGTCCCTCAGTTGCCTTTCTAAATGCAACATTGACATCCTCAGCTGTAATCCCCTTCTTCTCAACATTCACAACAAGGTCAATAACTGAAACATTTGGAGTTGGCACACGGAGTGCAATACGATTGAGCTTGCCCTTGAGCTGTGGTAGCACAAGAGAGATGGCCTTGACTGCACCGGTACTTGTTGGGACTATGTTCAATGCTGCAGCCCTAGATCTCCTTAAGTCACGGTATGAAGGGTCCAAGAGTCTCTGCATGATGATCACAAGCAGCAATTTAGCCTTCTTTGTTCAAATAAATCTCCAACTTTTCCTGTTGGAATTCATTTGGAATTCAAAATTCTTTGAATTAGCTTAAGCTCTAAATCCTGGTAGTATTTTGGTGAATGCAAGTACCTGATCTCCAGTATATGAATGGGTGGTTGTCATTGTCCCATGACAATTCTTGCACATCAGTTTCAAACCTTCAATGAAGTCAAAGAAAACTCATAACTATGATTATCTGAAATTTGCCTAAACTGAATGAGTTTACATCTGAGTGAATGTGAAGAAGTGCTTACCCAATTCTTCATCCATGACTTTCACAAAAGAGGCCGAACAATTTGTGGTGCAAGAGGCATTACTGCAATTACCGACATTGATCCACTTATAAATTATAGCATCAAGAACTAGAAAAAAAATTTCACACTGCTTTATGAGCAATCATTTCTTTGGAGGTACTAACCTTATGATGTTTGAGACCTCATGAGAGTAGTCACCTTCGTTGACTCCAACAACATAAGTTGGAACGTCTGCACCTTTTGGTGGAGCAGTGATGATAACTTTCTTAGCACCAGCTTGAATGTGCTTCCCAGCTCTAGGGCCATCCACAAAAACTCCTGTTCCCTGAAGAATGCATATGAATTTATCTAGTCATCTAAAAAGACTACTCAAATTTTGTCATTAATTAAATTTCCATCCCTTTGCATAGCTCAGTAATCCAGTAGAGTTGTTGAAAAAATTGCTCCTATGAAACTGGAACCCGAAGTATTTGTGTTGGTGACAAATTATGCTTTAGAGAACTGCAATTGATGAGAAGAAGGTGCAAGAACCCACCTCAATGACAATGTCAATGCCATGATTAGCCCACGGAAGCTTGAGAGGATCCCTGTTAGAGACAACCTTAATTGGCTTGCGGTCAACACTAATGGTTGTATCATCCACAATTTTGACTTCTGCTTTGAAAGTTCCAAGCATTGAATCGTATTTCAACAAATGTGAAGCCTGTGTTTATATGGCACACTAGAAGTTGATGAATGTAACTAGTTAATATCACTTGCTGATGTTAACTATAGTCAGGGAAACTGTCAGTTACATTCTTGACACCACCACTGTCATTAACAACAACCACATCAAGGGGTGAGTCTTTCCGGCCATACCAGCACCGAAGGAAGTTCCTGCCAATGCATCCAAATCCATTGATTGCAACCTTCAATTTGGCAACCGTTTCTCTCCTGACTGGAGTTGATGCTACTGTCTAAATTTGGAAATACCCATCAGAAGTCAGAACCACGACAACGGTGCCTCACAAGAAACTATATTTTAGGAACATAATGTTCATGTTGAAAGTACTTTGTACTTTTTTTGTATATTTTCACTATTCAGCTGATTATTCACAAGGATGATGCGCTTTTTCTTTCATAGAAGACATCATGAGATTCATGAAAAGTTGAAGGCAGGGAAATTATCTTTCATGCAGCCTAATCCAAAGCTCGTAAGATCTGATCAATTGTCCTACTTTTAAAAAAAGACAAGACAATTAGAATATACAAAAAAGTGTTTATATGGACTCAAAACTCCAGAACAGCTTAATTGTACCAAATATTGCAAGAAAGCACTGAACATTTTTAGAAAGATATTAGTATCACTGGCCTAATCTCTGTGCACAAGCAAAAAACATGAAAGAAAACTCAGAAAAGATCAAAAGGTTGAAGTAGGCAATCAACCTTAGGAGTAAGCTGAGCAGCCACCACCTTCGAAAAAGAAGTTCCTTTGGCATTGTAGCATATGTCACACAAAAGCTGGAATGGAGACCAGAAAACTCAGCTACTTCCAGCCTCTGCAAAACAAAATAGAAAAAATAAGGGAAAAAGAGAAAGCAACAAGAAAAGGGATAGGCCTAAGTTTTATATGGGTTTTGCACGCTTTGGAGACACGTTTCTCGGCCTAGTCCATTAATTCACACTCATTGGACCTATGTTTTAAATAATAGGGGCTATCTGTCTTAGGCCCTGTTTGGTATAGTGGTTTTAAGGTAGCGATTAGTGATTTTACCTAAACCGCTAAATATAGGTGTTTGGTAAATTTATATATTTCGAAATCGTTATAAATAAAATGTTTGATAAAATTTTTATTTAGCGGTTTGATACTAGCGGATAACGGTTAGAGTCCAAACCGCTAGCGGATTGAAAAAGTTAGTTTATGTAACTTTTTGTACCAAACCGCTAATGGATTAAAATTTTTTAATTTTATTTACAAATTTATCCATTTTAATTTTTTAATTTGTGGTCACATTTTTTAATTAATAATTTTGTAATAAATTTCAATTTTATTTTTTCACCTTTAATAACATTAAGTGATTATAATATTTTTTTACATTAATTTATAATTAAAAAATATATTATCTTAAAAGACAAAATTTGTTAATTAGACAAAATGAT